ACGTGGTACCAGAAATGGGGACACCCTGGATCCTGGAATGATCTTACTATTCTTGCAAGTTACTATAAATATCTAAGAAGCAGCTATTCTTTGCGTTCATTCTCACACGTGATGGTTGGCTAAGGTGTTGACAGAAAGTTGGCAAAGCCTGGATCCATTGGTCTCGCTGCACATGCACCACATACCTGACCTGCGTGTGCTTGGTGGCCTTCGTGGAACTACCTGCCAGTGCTGGGAATGCCTGTGGGCCAGCTGCTCTTCTCTCTGGGCTGCTTCCTGTTAGGAAATCCCAGACAGGTTGTCTCTACTGGCAGAAGGCTCAGGGGTGACAAGGAGGAGGGAAACATATCTAAGTCAACCCAAAACTGTGGTAACCTTATATTTATATGGAAAGTATTCTGAAAATTCAAGAGAAACAGGTACTGGTGATATGGGTGGGGATGAGAAACGCCATAGATGTTGAAAAGTATAAAGCTCCAGGATGACTAGTCAGTAATCCGAAATACCATACTTGCGAGTTAATATAAATATCTAAGAAGCTGCTATTGTCTCTGTTGGTTCTTATCCACAAACTATTGTTTTGATGTTTATAAATGGCAAATAAAGACATGGATATTGTTGATTAAATTGTGGTTTGTTTTTTTTTTTAATACAGTGGCATCTCTTTGAGCGTAATAGCTCGAAAAGCACATGAGCAGAGAGAGGAATGCTCACAAAACAAGGCTGTAGTCTTTTGGAGTATATTAAAAGAAAAATAAAAAGGAGGAGAAGCTTCTTTTTTTCTATTATAGTGAAGATTAGGAAGACTGAACAACAAAAAAAGGAAAACTGTATAGAGGAATATCTGGCTACCATGACGTGTGTGCCTAGGGAATAAATTTTTCAGGGAACTTAATGCACTTTAATTTTAAGTGATAAAATGGTGGTAGTTAAGGAATTTTTTCAGTCTCTAGTTTTGACAGACCTTTCTAACATCTATTTTTATTTGTGATGGCAGCTTGTTTGAGTGCTGTAGAACAGATGTTAAAGAGCAGGCTGAGCCCCTGGAAATTTTCTTTGTAGTGTGCTACATTAAAAAGAATGGAAGGAAATGACGGTATAGAAACTCTTGTTCTTTTAGCTGGAGAGCTTATTGCTCCCAGATGCTTGCATGTACCTCTCCTTTCTCAATGCAGTCATGCCTTGCAGTGAACTCCTTGCAGTATTTGGATACATCAGTTTCAAAGAGGGGGTGGACATTTGTGTAACTAAGTGTATTGGAAATGGCAGAGCATGGTTACTCAAACTTGGAGCAATGAGCCTACCTGGATTACTAACAAGCATGAAACATCAGGTTGTGGTGGCAAGAAAATAATTCTAGTTACCTGATGATCAAAACAATTTTATACAATATATACGTCTGTCTGAGACTGAACATAAAATTTTTGACAAAGCTTGAGTCTACTTAAATGTAGGAGTGCAAAGAGATCTGTATATGAGGGTGATAAAAATGTACATCGTGGAAATAATCTTCTGGTGCTAAGGTTTTGCTGCTTTTGAGCAGACAAAGTTATGGTATTTTACAAAAGCACATAATTTTTATTAAATGATGAGGGCATACACAGCTAGTTAAGTGTTTTATGATGTGTTTCACCTGCTGTTGTAGGCTGTCTCCTTACCACTGGTATTTGCAAAAAGTATAAGAGGCTGTAGGACTTGTTTTTGAGGATACTGTGTTGTGCTGAGCCAACCATCAGTACAACTCCAGCAGTGCACGTTAATTTTGTATAAGGATTATATGCCTGTGCAGAAATTCAAAAATACAAGGCATTTGAGGAAAAAAATGCTAGGCTAGGTTCTTTGTAACATGACCCTTGAGCTGGGGCAGATTCACAGAAGCATTTAAGCTCCTAACTCCCATCTGTGTAACAAAAGTTGCCTTGAAGTATGTGGGAAGCTAGAAATCAAACACATATTTTTGAGAAACTTGGCCCTGTTATACAAGTCATTGAGAAGAATTGTAGTGTTGCCTCTAAAGGAATACATTTAGTATTGCTCTTAGGAAATCTCTTAATAGAGCTGACTCAAGAAAATAAGCGTCTAGTGAAAGTTTGTAGAGAGGCTGCATGTCTGTTCTTCCCATCCTTTCCATCTCGCCATTTTCTTCTGTTAAATTCTTCTTCCTTCTGTTTGCATGTTGTTACTGTTACACAGCTTTTACTATATAGCATTAAACAAAAAAAACAATCCAGGCTTTTACAGAATATAACTCCTTGTATGGCTACAGAGCAGTACGGCTTTGATTTAGAAAACTGACACAAATCTCACAGTTTGGTGTTGTAGGCAGTGAGATGAAACTAATAAACCAAGAAGGATTCTATAGCATCTACAACAGGGCAACAGAAAAAGCGACTAACATTTTGCCTGCAGCTAAAGTAGGTAAACAGAAAGAGTGAAGGGGTGGGTGAATGGGTGGGATATTAGCACAAAGCAAATAAGGTTTTAAAAGCTTGCTTGACTTGCATCATTCATATTAGAAGATACATTCCTTGGGGAGTGGCCATTAACCTACCCACAGCAACTGTGGAAGTCACTACTAGTTGGCTCTGTTTAGTCTTTAACCCTGTCACCACCTGTATTAGTCATCATGGCTGGTTTCTTAGCAGATACTTGGAGCAACAAGGAGAATGGCAGCAAACCATGGTTTTACCATGTAGTAAAAGTAGTTGGGGATGGACCTGATGAGGATAGCAGTGTAAGGGTTGTGAGGGAAAGTACACACTTAAGCATGGTATTTCAAGTGGCCAAAACTTTGTACAATGCTGTGTTCTTCAGAGTCTACATCAAAGTGATGCCCCTTTACGGTCTTTAGGAGCACTGTTGCTAAGAATTGCTTTGTAGAAGAAATGCGATCCTGATGGATTTCAGTTAATCAGGTGTCCCATGGCATGATACCGTAAATCTGTTACGGATGATCGTTTCTTTCAGTTCTACTTCTTTATTTAAGTATATGCAATGTATCACTTAGAAGTTTCCCCCAATGTGTATCTCCTTACTGAAATTAAGTGAAGAGTGAACATGCTTGAATCTTCAAAGGCCTTCCCTTCAAAAAGAAAAAAAGTCCATCTTAAGAAGAAAGCTTATGGTATAGCTGGGGCTTTTTACAATATCTTTGGTAGGGTGAGAAGGTTTACAGTTTTCATTTGCCTTCCTTCACAGCTAAATGTTCCTCCTAGTCTTGTCTTTCCTGTTTACTCCCACGACTGGGTAGGACACATGGATGATTGTGTCCGCACCCCTTTTGTTTCAAAGGGAAGGGTGATGCTTGCCTTATTGTGCCAAGGGAGTTATGTGTGTGCTTAATGTTCACACTGTGAGGACATAACTGCTACCTCATCCTCCTCACAATGCTACTTCTCGGAAAAACACTTTGAGAATTGGGTTTCACAATAAATGAAACATGCTTATAAGAAATAGACTGGGAATGTGTTGGGATTTTTCTTCTGTGAAACAAATTTCCTTGCAAATAAGAGGTGTTCTTCAGTGAGGAGCAAATGAGCATGTGATTGCTTATATTCTTTTAGTCTTCAAGACAGACAATAGCTTTTTCAGTTCTCTTTTTACAATAAAGAAGCATTTTTTTTAATCTTCAGGTAAAAGTTGGATTAAATCAATCCAAAACAGTGATGCAGGGTGCCCATAGAAACCTTACCTTGCAGTAAAACTAAGGTGAACAGGATATTTAACATATTAACATATTAGTTATTTCTATACAAGAAGTTATTTTGCCTTTTTTTTTTTTTTAAACACTATGGATAAGCTTTGAAACTAGAGGAATGTAGGAAGGCTCTTCATTGCAAGATTAAAGCAGAAAAGCCTTAGCTGTAAATTACCATGCAGCAAAGAAAGTAGCAGAGCTGGTTTGTCAACTCCAGTATAATTGGTTATTATTTTGCTGTTTAATGTTAAGCCTAAGTGTAAGAATTAATTTTTCAAGGTTCTGACAAGGGAACGCAGAAGTTATGCAAATGGAATGCTGTGGTGACAATTCAAACAGACAGAATTCAGCTTTAGATTCAACATGTAAAGGGCGAGTGTCTCACAGAAACTGTCCTCTCTTTGTACCTTAATCACTCTGTCCTAACACAGGAGGTTTAAATGGTCATCAGGATGTATTTAACCATATCTTTTTTTACAGGAGGTGTAGAATTGTCCCTTAAATTATCCATATTTTTAAAGAATCTTTACCTTGCAATTCTTTGTACAGTCCAAGTAAATTGTCTGTGATCCTTGGAGTGATGAAAGATGTCAAAACCAAGGATTTAGCAGTTACTCTATTTCAATTTTTTAAAAATATGTATGTAATTAGACATGAAAACAAATGCTCAGTGTATTTATTTCATCATCTTTTTCACTGCAAACAGAGAATGTATTTCTTTATGCTCTTTGCTAGATAAAGATCTGTATAAACTTGAGTCTTCTTACCACATTTTGCATCTGCTTAAATTGGTGCAGGAGAAGATGCATGGGATGTTGTATTTACTTTCTTCAGAATCCTGTTGTTCACATAATGGAATCGAATGTTTCAAAATTTGCCTTTGAATTGAGGGCACTTTAGAGGCATTTCACCCCAAAAGGGAACTTTTGTAAAAACACTGACTTCTGGGTTTAAAAGAAGGTGGCCGCATCAGTCCTAGATAAAACATTACTGCAGCTATACCATAAATACGGGCCTTGGTCTGAGCCTCGATAGTTCAAGTGGCCTGCTGTCTCTTTCCAGTAGGCTTCCTCAGAATCATTGAGAATCTCTTCACCAGTAGTCAGGCTCTCTGTGGTGAGCCACAAAGGAGAAACATTAAACTAATTAAGGAAGAGTTTGCAGAAATAAAGCCGGCATTATTTGGTACATCTTCTAATATGGAATACTTTTGTAGAACTATGACTAATAGCTTTGGGGGGGAGAGGGATGTATGTTTTTCTTTTAAGATACATCTTTTTTTCCTCTTTGAATTTTTAATTAGATCTCAGTAATGTCATGAATTCCACTCCAAATATAAAGGCTGTGAATGGAAAAGCTGAAAGTAGTGATAGCGGAGCAGAATCAGAAGAAGAAGGGCTTCGTGAAGAGGAGGAAAAAGAACTGCAGCTAAATGGAAAGGGTATGTTTTCTGCACTTGGACTATTGTGTCTTACAAAGTTATTCTTAACCACTGAAGTGTCAGAAAATCCCAAAGGATCATGAATGCTGTATTTCTTCAGGAGAATTAGATGCAAATACATGTGGATGCATGTGTGGAGAATGGCAGTGTCTCAACCTGGGTTATAAGAGTTAGAACTAGTACAAATTTGTGAGCTATGCCATACAATATTTGACTCGGCTAGGAAGTTCTGTCGGGAGGCTAGCTGTAAGTCTATACCCTCTATTGTTCTGGTTTTTGTTGCCAGTGCTGTTTGTAAGAGGTGTGAATGGCTACATGGGCTGTAACAGTAGAATTGAAAATCACTTTTTTTCTTCAGATAAAATAAAACAGAACTTTCAGGGAGGTCCATTTAGGGGGTCCATAAAGAATTTTGAGAAGCACCAGCATCAAGTGAAAACCAAATGAAATCACATATTTAGAATTCTATATGGGTTTGTTCTTCCAAGGACATTAGGAAAGTTATTTATCAGACAGACCTACTTTGCATTTGCTTACTCATGCTTTAAATATAATTTTTTCTTTATGCAAATTAAATTTTATATTTACACTTTTTACAAGAATAGAACAATCCCTGCGAATGTGAATCTACGAGCATTTATATATTTATATATTTTGTTCTGCAGATACATTATACTTAGAGTCCATTAGAAAGTTAGGTACCTGAAGAAATATATTTTGAGCTATTAGGTGCATACCTTCCTATGGACAAGTTTTTCTTGTTCTTTTACAGACTATAAGAATGTGAAACCAGAATCGGCAGCTGCTAAGGATTTGGAAAGTGTTGTTACTAATGGCTGTTACAAGGACAGCTTTATCCCAGATACGCAGAATGACATCCAGACCAAATCTGCCCTGAATGGCTTGAACCCAGAGGAAGAAAGAAAGAAAATGGAACCAAGACTAGAAATGGCTAATAACAGTGCTCACCAAGGTATTGTCTTTGTAAGACCATGTTTTCATTTGCATGTTTTTCTTGGAAAATATTTCTTTTCTTGAAAGCTTAATACTGGGATTCAAATGGTGTCTTTCAGTTGTAGAAACCTGAAGAAAGAATACTAAAAATAATAATAAAATAATACCAATTTAAAATTATGCTTTCTTTTAGGATCTTCTACAGAAGGAGAGACGAATTCAGAGAGGCCAAAACCCACAGAAATACAGTTGTTTTATTTTAAAATCATTATACTACCTATGCAAATGCTGTTTGCCTTTGAAAACTAATTCATAGTGAAATTAAAATCGCTAATATCTTATTAGTCACTCTCAAAGGCTGAACATGTAAATGCCAGCTTGTTGAAACTGATGTCTACATATATAATTTTAATAACAGACAACTTTAAGCAAAACTGCTTTATACTGAACTTAGGAAGGAAAGTTGAATGAACAAGGTGAAATTCAAATTATCAACTTATAATGCAGAAGTGCTAATATGAGGTATAATTTTCCCATTAGTAAAAGTTTTATATAATTACTATATTAATACAACCTCTTTATTCAGAACCTAACTTTAGGATGACCGTTGTAGATAAAAGGGGCATGAGTTGAAGCTCCCTTGGGCATATTAACTCACTGCTTTACTCTTTGCCAGGATTGGCTTACATTTACACAGCATGTGTGCATATCTTCTTTCCATACAGGTGCAAATGAAGAGAATACTGAAGAGGTCTTAGCAACTCAGCACTTAACCAGTGATTCAGACAGTGAAGTTTATTGTGACTCTATGGAGCAACTTGGACTAGAAGAGGTAGGGGCTTAGTATTCCTAGGTGTATTGAAACTGGTATGCTTATTTTCAAATAGGTTCCTATCTGTCAGGTGAACCTGTACATGCAGAGGTGAATGAAGTAACTCATGCATACCTTTATCCTATCTGGACTATTGGTTTTTGTTCTTCTTATGGTCAGTCTTTTACAACGTGGTTACTACTGATCTAAAAGCCTTGACACTTTTACCCTCAGAGGATTTATGTGAGGGGAAGGTATCAAAAACAACAGTACAAAGAAACCAAAGGCTGTGTCCACAAATGAATTTAGGGTCTCTTAACATATGTCGGGACCAGAATCCACCTATGTCTAAGAAGCAGGGAGTGTCTTTGTTAGAGTGAGCTTTGTGCGTGTTCTTTTTCTGGCCTGACAAATCCTGCATTTGTTTCTTAGAATAAATAAAGGGTAAGCCTTAGCAGGTGGCCTGTAGGCCAGTGCCTGAAAGTGGCCTAGGTCTAAAGAAGTGGGAGATGACAATGATTTCTGGTTCTCTTGTGCTCTCGTCAGCCTTAATGTACATCTCTGACTTTCTTATAAAAAGTGAGTACAAACTGTGCTGGCTTAGATTTGACTGAATTTGTGCTCCTGCTCATCTTATTAACTGTAGACTTAATTGACTTAATGGCTTGGGCCTCCTTCAGAGGTCCAGTTTAAGTGTGGACTTTGTAGACTGTACTCAAACACTTAGTTTCCTGATTCTGGGGAGGAATATATGAATGATACATGGGATCAGAAAGACTGGTAAGCACTCTAATATTGCATCATTCTCTTGTCTAGCTGTTTCCTGAGGATCTAGAGAATTCCTTTTAGCAAATCAAAATTTTACCCGCCGATGAAGCATGTTGTGAAAAGTTATTTGGTAGAAGTGCTGCAACCTCTCTTATCTAGGTGATTTCCCAATCCTCTTGTGTACTGTTTGAGCTTATTTGAAATTCTTCTAATTGACGTGGGTGGATAATTTGTCAGAATTTCCCAACCTGCACGAGAAGAGTTCTAGTTTCGAATAAAACAACAAATGTTCAGGTGTATGTAAATAAATATACAAGTAGAACTACAGATGGATCAATTCAAACTAGAAGAGGTTCATTTCTAGAATTAAATATAGCTTTTTGTTGGAAAACATGTAGCAAACACTCTGTCCTTCAGTTCCAGTGATACAGGTTATAAACTACTATTTGACAAATGGGATTTTGGCAGCAGTTTCCATTTCTTTGCCCCTCCTTTTGGTTACTTTGGCTTTTTCATGGAGTTATTTTTCAGGTAGCTGAGGTCCCCAGTCTGCTTCAGCATATACTTGTGCAAGTGCTTGTCCTTGCACAAACAAAGGGTTGCTTGAACCAGCTTAAGGCAGTTCTGTTGCAGAACATTTAATTGTGACCTGATCAACATGTGTCATTCATTTTTAATATCTTCCTACAGTACCACTGATTTTGAGTGAGAAGTTGATAGAATACTATGCCTTTTGTTTGGTGAGAGGTACAAGGTGCAGCCAAGGTGTTTTGAACAGGTTGATAATAAACAACGTGATCTCTTTGCTGTGAGTGTAAACACTGCCTACTCGAGGTTGCTAACAGCACATGACTTTTGACAGTGTGGCTCACAAATCCCAGTTAGGATACTGCTTCACTGTCTAGGAAGCAAAACCAATTTTACAAGGGAAAACTGAACATTTTCATAACTTAATGTTCTGTTTCAGTGGTTGCTGAGTATTACTGTATGTTAGAAATGTTTAAAGTAACTAGTATCACTGGTGTCTAAATGTGAATTGGTGTCTAAAGTAAAGTGGTATCACTGTTTTGAGAATATTTGCCTCAAATGAGTCTAACCTTTTCAATCTGAAAAGGACACTTAGACAATAGTAAGCCAATTCTACAGGAAAACAACTGTTAAAAGAAAAGTCTTAATTCTGGGCAAACTTCTTAAAGTGAAAGTAGAGATGATGCTTCTTCCTTTTTATTGGTTAACTGTCACATTTTACAGAATTTAATTACTTGCTAATGTTAATTTGTAGCCCTTGGAGATCATCACATCAGCTAAAGGATCTTTAAAGCATTCATCCCATTTCTTGGATGTAGATCACAGTCTTCTGTTAGAAAATACAGATTTTCCAAGGCACGCTTGCATGACTTACGGGAATCTCCAACATGGAAATACTCTAGAGGGAGCAGCTCAAGAACAAGGTGAAGTCAAGTGTGGAGGAGAAGATGGCAAAGCCAGTAATGGAGGCCCTCACAAGGAGAAGAAAGGTGGAGAAAAAGCAGATTTCTACAGTGTCAGAAGAGGGAGAGGTACTGTGCACACTGCTTTTGGTTTCTGTGCTCTCCTGACTGCCATAAGTTACTGGAGCCTGAGAAGCACTTGTCAATGTTTTCCAGTAAGATAGTCATGCTGTATAGTGCTTCTGTCCTTCACAATAAAAATAGATAACAAAATCCTATTTACAGTGGGTAGCAATCAGTTTTGTATTCAGAGGATTTATTTGGTTCATAATAAGTATAACAAAAGACTTTTCTTGTGCTGTGGAGATCTTCAATAAGTGTATTGACTTCTTCTCTGTTGGCTTACTTCAAACTCCAGCTGCTGTTTATGGCACCTGTCTTCTTAGAAATGTAATCTTCAAAACCTGTCTATGCATGAGAAAAGTTTCTTTACAAGATACATACTTATTTTTAAATGCATATGCATTTGTACCTCTGTGGTGTCTTATTTGAAACCATGGAATGTCTTGGAAAGGTGTCAGTGACACATTGTTTTCTATATAATTGGGAGTGTTAGCCACACCTTTGAGCGATTCTCATACTATGATTCTTAAAATGTAACGATACTTAATCACATAATAGTCCAGATGTTCAATTTACGTTGGACCTCTCCTCTTTTTAATTCTATAATACTTCTAATACTGCCACAGAGGAGCAATACCATATTCCAGTGGTATGATCTATAAAGTCAAGGATAAAGTTTATTTTTCTTGTACTAGGAAAAAAAATACCAGAAAGCATTTAATTTATATATAGCATGCCTTTTTTGCATGGTACCTCTATATGCGATTAGATGGAAAAATTAAAAAGAAAATCCAAATACAACATTTAAATTGATAACTATTATGAAGAACATATTGTAGAACTGCACATTAGCTTAACCACCTCCTCTTCTCTCTTTTCTTGTTTTATTTAGGTTTGCTACTTGCAAGCAGAAACACATTAAGTTAGCTGTATATGGTTTAAAGGAGTATTGTAGGTTTCAAACAATTGTCTTTTTCATCACTCATTCCAGTGTTCTTTGTTTTCCAGCTGGAGACTGTGCCAAACTTGAAACACGCCTACCCTTGATAATAAGACAGATCTTACTTTCCTTTTTCTGGGGCAGAATTTACTGCTGAACTTGGCTGGATGTGAATTAATTGTATTTTGCTAAATGTTTATGCAATTCTAGGATCTTGAGTGATACTGTCACACGGAGGCTGTAGGGAAGCAACTCAAATGATGCTGCAGTAACTTCCTAGTGCTTTTGAACTGTCTGAATATAGCCTGTGATTAGGAGTACCACACTCAGTTCAGGAGGGAGGAAAACGGAACTGTTAAAATAAAACATTTTCAATAGTGTTGGTAGCCCATTCTGTGTTTTATGTATCTATTTTTTCTCTCTCAACATAGGGCACAGACTTCAGCCTCTAGGAGACGGTTCACAAAGTGGACAGATGGGTAGTGGAGGGGACGGAGAGCGCTGGGGATCAGACAGAGGACCCAGGGGTAGCCTCAATGAACAGATTGCAGTAGTGTTGATGCGGTTGCAAGAAGACATGCAGAATGTCCTTCAGAGGTTGCATATGCTGGAGGCGGTTACAGCATCACAGGTATTATGAACCAAAGTTATTTGATTACTTCTTAATTCCTTGGGTATTTTTATGCTTTTTCAGTTTAAAATTTCAGACAATATTTTCTTAAACGGTAAAGGCATTTCAGTGATGTTCAGTAGTTTATTCCAACTTAAAATTTCTTATTGGTACCTACACTCAGGAACACAATTCAAGATTCTTGTACATGTGAGCAAAAACATGCATTTTGACGTAGAAATTAACCATGTTATTTTACTGATTTCTGATGAGACTTATTTTAACTAGTTATTGATACACATTACAGAGTCGCTATATGGAGATTCCATAATGTTGGTAATACATGATCCCAGGTAACTTCCTCATCAGTAGATCTCAAAGCATTTTCAAATGAAGTGAGAAATAATCCTAATCTTCCAGATTGGTAAATGTTTGCAGGCAGAATTTCTGATTCCATTTTTCAGTTAGCAGAAGACTGATTCTTCATAGAATCCTTTCCCCACAAAGTAATCCAGCTTTCTTGGAATTTCACATCATGTATACAAACAAGATAGGCAAAAGAAGACTTAAGCAAGTGTAGATATTTATTGATGTAGTGTTTTTGTTCTGTTTCAATGGAAACGCTGTGTATTTGGGAGAATATAATATGCTGTGAATATAGTTGAACCAGCAACCTAAAAATGTTTGGTTTTGTTTGACTTGCTGATATATTTTGATCAACCTGAGAATGAGCGAGCTGTACAAGCAGTGTCCTATGGGATGCACGTACTCCAAACCTAAGGCAGACAGGGAAAAGGATTTATTAAAACCATTATTTTTCTCTGTCACAGCTATTCAAGAATATGATGTTTGGATACAGATTGATTTTCTTTTTTTCGCCTGAGCAATATATGAAGAAATATCAAAAGATTCTTCCCCAGCAGTTCATGCTCTGCTTGCTACTCTTACCTAAAGACAAACAGAAGCCTCTGTTTCACACTTACATAAACTAAGAAAGACTAGAAAACTGACAACTTTTTTTTTTTTTTGTGGAAGCACCACAATAGTGTATGGGAAAGGTCTTGAAAAGTTTTTGGTACTTCCCATTTTCTGGATTGCCTGGAAGATTTGGAACAAAGAATTCTCCTTCCTATATACTGTTAGACATGCCTGTAGGGATAGCTCAGGTCACATTAAAGCGGTGCTTTTTGCCTTTGTATAGACTAGTGTTGAATAACTTAATAATGCAAATTAAGCTTCTGGGATTTCTGCTCTGGGTTGCAACTGCTGGGACTGGCTCAGAGTTGAGGAAGTTGTGATGACAAGTTGGGCAGGGGGGTCTTGAGGAACTGTAAACAAGTCCAGTAAGTGACACTGATTCACTGTTTAATACACAGAAATGTGATAAAAATACTATAGAGAGTAATGGAAACATGAGAGGTAAATTGGAAACTAAGTGGTGAAAGGAGGGGTTGCATGGGGGTGGTTCTATTCCTTAAACTGTCATATATACAGATTGCAAAGCCTTCACAAGATTAAAAACTTCATATTCTCATTTTGTGAAGAAAAATTTTAATGGCAGGGTTTTTTTTATACTTACCATCCTTTGTTTGTATTTAAAGGCAAAATCTGCAACACTACAGTCAAATTATCAGCCTGCCTCCTCTGCCAAGGTAAAGTAATGGGTTTTTTTCTATTTGTAAAAAGCAGAGTGAATGATGAAAACTGTTGAGATGAATATTTTATATCTAGCTCTTAGTATTGTCTCTCCCTTGACTAGAAGACAAAAAATAATCTGTTTCTGAAGAAGTTATTTGATAGATTATCTTTTTTCCTGGTCTTACTAGTATTTTCAACTTTGATACTGTAGCATTTGAGAAGTATACATGTGGTATTCAGTATGTGCACACAGATTGCTGACTAAAATTTTTTTCTGTTTTTCTTAGAAACCATCATGGTGGCCCTTTGACATTTCTCCTGGCATTTTAGCTTTTGCTGTTGTATGGCCATTTATTGCCCAATGGTTGGTATATGTGTATCTTCAAAGAAAGCGAAGGTAAAGATGTGCATTCAATAGGGTATATATACTGTAGTTCATCTGTTTAAACCAATATGTAGTATATCGTGTTATTTAGAGAGGACATAAAATATTGCCTCCCTGCATAAGAAGAATGCAACGGTATGCTCTCAATAAGGCTTTGACAATATACCTGAAACATCAAATCAGTATCAAAATGTGGGGCTTGATAATAATTGTTTTGATAAATCCTGTTTCCTTGCGTTCTTTGTTTCAAGACATCTTCCTTAATGTCCCATTTTATCTATCAGTGACTCATACCTCTGAAGATACCAAGCTAAAGCAGGTTGTTGAGAGGAGTCCTTGGTATGGTTATGATAGAAAGGTGTATGTTTAAGTCCCAAAAACTCAAGCCAAATATACAACAGCAAATTCTGGAAGCTAGTAGGAGTGCCTTCCATTAACTGAGAATTCTAGGAAGAGACATGTATAGTTTTCTTTGCCTTGAAAGTTTCTCAGCATAAGAAAGTGTGGGTTAATTTGACTTTATATGTGGTATGCTTTATATGCAGCAATTTAGGTTAAATCCATGAAATGTGATGCAGAATAAATAATTTCAGTGAGCATACACAAGCGGTTGAGGCTGGATAGCTTGGAGGTATCTCCATGACATTCTTTGACACTCTCAGTCCAGATATCTTCCTGAGCTATTTTCACTGCTTCTAGGCTCTCTAGTGCCCTTGTGTCATGAGCAAATATTTTCCTATCAAATCCTTTGCAGAGGATTTGGGCAGTTACACACGTTTTCCTTATTTTCTGCACCGGTAAATGGAGATTTCCATTTCATCAGCAAGGAAGCAGCCAAGGTGCAGCAGAAACCAGGAGCCTGCGCTACCATGTGAGGTTTTCTCATTGTGAAGCTGTGGACACATGACTCCTGAATTTTTTTACACAGTGGAGCAAATTCCATGGAACTAGTGGAGAGAAGGCCTTCTGTAGCCAACAGCTTTGTGTTTAGCTCATGGCCCTGGGAAGGGGTAACTCAGCTCACTCTTAACACCCTCCTGTGTGGCCTTCTGGCTGGTTTAGTTCTTCTTCAGAGCCTCTTAACCTGTCTCAGTCCTTTATAGGGAACTTAATGCTGAAAATCTGGACACCCATATTGGAGCCTTCACTGAAGAAAGCTTGAAAACCTTAATCCTAAGGGCTATAAAACCAGATAACAGATAGAAATATATTTTTAATAACAGAGAGTTGTTTAGATTCAGCTCACAATTTTAGAACATTCTGATTGCATGTTTTCTGGAGTCACTGGAAGAACAGCTCCTTAGTGTTGCTCTGCTGTGAGCCAGCAAACCACTGACTGATGTGGTCAGGGACTCTTCTGAGGAATTTCACCTGCAGTTCAGAATTCTTAGCGATATTTTGTGTTCCTCAGTGCAAATTGCACCAGTTCTGTAGACTTGCAGATTGGTTTGAAACTTCAGAGGGCAAATTTTCAGCTATCTTGAAGTAGTGTTATATTTTAACGGATTGGAAATTATTAACATGTGACTTTAATTGATTTGTTTATTTAGACAAATGAAAAATCATCTCATATGTGAAAAGATATTAAAATTATTTATTTGGTTCCTCTTCTAGAAAACTGAACTGAGAATTCACGACTTTGCTTAAAGATTGCTAGGAGAAGATGGCCCTGGAAAGTGAAGGAATTCTGAATTCTCATAGAATCTCAGGATCTGCGATGATGTTCCTTCTCTTATAGTAATATTTTGTACTACCTTTGAGCTAAACATTTAAGGACTAACATTATTGAAACTTAAATGATTTACAGCTCCTAGGTTACAAATAAAATAAATTTAATAATTCTATCCTCAAAACCATATAAACATTAATTATTTTGTAATGTGCTTGTGGATGGGCCTTCAGTAATTACTGGTCTTGCTGATGTCAGATGATGAAGAGAATATCATCTTTGTAATAGAATAAGTGAAAAATAGGTACAGCTGTCACTTTAACATAGAAATAATTTTACAATTGCAACATCCCTACCTGTTTTTCCACAGGGTTACATGTTACCAGATGAAAGCACTAATAAAGTACAAACTCAACACATTGAAAGCTGTTGGAACAATACAACATAGCTCTGAGGAACTCCACTGGTTATTTTTGCTGCTAAACCAGTGTGGGGCAAATTTCCATGTAAATTGGTCAGAAATTAAGTTGAATCCTTATCTTTTAAGATTGTAAAGGAGATTTGGGAATTTATATATGTCTTGCAAGTTAGAGCCATTAATAACAGAGGGACTGTCAAATATAAGTTTGGAAACTGTGTGGTACAAGAGATCCATCTAAAGAGGCTGCACTTTATATTTTTAACTTTGATAACTGTATTCTTGTTGACAGCAGGTTGTTTTAACTGAAATGCATAGTTTAGGCACAAGATGCTTTAAAATGAGATGGAAGCTAGCTCTGTAAGGATATATCAAAGATTTTAAAAAGCTCAGTGCATTGTAAATTTTCTGTTGTCAGATTATGTAAAATTAAAATAAGATTTAATTCTAGCCCTAATGTGTTGTGGACTTTGCCCAACTCATATCAGAAAAAAATACCAGTTCTGCTACTTCTTTCTCTGCTATCCTTCTATTTCCTTTCAAAACAAAACTTTTCAGCTAATGATGGTACTGATTCATTTTCCCCCCCACCGAGTATTTATTAACCACTGTAAAGACAGTTACAACCTTGTGAAGTTTGCTTGATTAAAGCATGCTTTACACTTCATTTTAAAATAAATTAATATATAGGTTGTCTAAATCTCTGGAAAAGAGAAATGCACTAAAATTAGATTTGACAGAAAATTAAGATGTTCATTTGCTATAAAGAATTACATCATAAAATAACCCATGTTTAAGATCTGAATTTTCAGAAATTTCACCATATTATTGATATGCTTTCATTCTCTACCTGGACTACATATTACAAATAATTTTTGAGGAGTTATTTTTTGTCCTTCCTGAAAATCTATTATAGTTCAGGAAACATTTTTCATAACAAGCGCTACTGTATAAAAATGTAATCACATTCACCTGTAATCAACACAATGTTTGTTTTACCCGAGCAACTTTAATCTTGTTTTAAGTGCGGGGTTTTTTTAAGCATTACTCTTCCCCTCTTCTGCTCTTATTGTAAAGGAGAATTGAAAACTAAAATGATAGAAGCTCTTTGAAGACTGCTGTACCAATCAGATGGTTTCACGTGCCAGAGATGAGTTTTGGCATGAGATACACTGAAAACTCAGGTTTAAACAAAGCTTATGGTGGAAGGGAAGTTCTGCTGTGACCTGAAGACATTATTCCTGTAGCTGTTCCTAGAGTGATTGACTTCTTATCATAAAATGATAGAAACAATTATACAGGAAGAACAGTCTAGCTTGAAGGCGACTGAAAAAAACCCCTTCTGAAGCAGCATGTCTTCTGACACGACAAAGCACCCTGGAGTGCCTCCTCCCCTACTGGATAACCATGTTACAGGTAGGTGTCTAGCTTTTAAGATGTCAGAGACATTCTCAAAGATACTTAACTGTTAACTTCCCGCTGAAATAAAGGTAGGCGTGTGCCATCCTTGTTATTTATTCATGTTTCAATAAATCAATCCCTTAATCTTTTGTATTTTATCTTGAACTCTCTTAATGTTTAGTAAATGCTGTACATTGGATGTTTCAGCTGTACAGAAGACCCTGCTGGCTACATTATGAAGAAGCAGTCTCAGTGTTAAAGTTGTAATACAAAAACACTATCACTTTTATAACCATTCACCTGTAACTTATAACTGGACCTCAGCTGCTAGGGGTAGGTCGAAACGCACTGTAACTTGAACAAATTTTATTTATCTGATATTTGATCTTAAAAGTAAAGAAAAATTGATTTATTTTGCCCAGGTACAAAGAGACAGCTTTAACTTGGAGAAAGTGGCATAAGCATATCATTAGAACTGGAATATGTTGTTCTACCTGCTGCTCTCCTCAGGAAGGGGAGCAGCTGAAGCAGTTTGGCATAGCCCTGGAAACACGGAGGCTCAGCTCCAAATTGCACTTCTGAAGCAGCCATCCAGCTAGTTTCCTGCAGTAAATCAAACAATCTAAAAAGCATAGGAAACCAGATGGAAGACATTCCACCTGCTAATAGGTGCTCAGCTGAAACCAGAACAGAGCCAGGTGGGGGGGGACAGCTGTTCTGTCCCCAGGGCCATCTGTCTCTCTCCTCCTCGGGTCCTGGGGCAGCACAGTAAGTGCTGGAGTGTCTGCCTTTGACTCATTCTAGTTACTGCAGAGGAGTGGACTCACAGCAGGAGTTACAGAACATTTAAGGACTTTCCTGCCACTAAACACACACATGTAGCTTGTAATAAGGATAGCAGGAGCATGTTACCATGTTATGAACTTAAGGGCATACACACCTGAATTAGAAAGTATCAGCTACTTATAACCACTGTCTTTGCTGGGGTAGGGGAAAACAGACAGGGGTTGTATAAAAATCCACCTCCCATCCTGCCAGCAGGGTCACAAGCATAAGACCATTTAAAGATTAAAAAAATGCAGAAGCAAGCAACAGCAAGACTGCAATATTTTATTTTATATATTTACACAAAAGTGTGCAAAGTAAATTTTTTGAGGACATAGAGAGGAAAAGAACGCATTTTACTATAAGAGTAACCACAGTTAAATCTGATCATACTGGAACCTAGTAGCTCTTGGCCTCCAACCATTGTGCGGTGTATAGGTGAGACTAACAGCAAGTTATTGGTAGTAAGTTCTCCAAGACTGCTATTCATGTATAAGAAAGTGTGACAGTTACTGATAACTACAGTTTTTAGCACACTTCTGTCTAGCTAATAGCAGATAAACTGTCTCCCAAGATAACCTACATACAAACTCCGTAGCTCTGAGGTTATGCACACAAAGTTTAGGCCTTCAGGAAACACCATGTAACAACCGGAGTACTTGCCAAGTGGTATTCTACAGCTTTCAAGAACCAGAAACTTTTGGGAGCTTACACAAATATTTGTAGTTGCTTATTAATGAGAAGAAACTTCAAATCTCCTCAGCTACTACATTATAGCTTTTTGTACTTTTCCCTGTAGTATTTCAAGTCAAGCAATGAGTGGGGCAAAACTAATGGGATTAAGAGTTGACAAGGAATTCCATGTTGAAGAATAAAGCCAGGATTCACCTTTTTAATAAAAAGACACCCTCTCCCACCCCCACAAAAAAAAAAAACCCAAAAAACAAAAAAAAACACACAACAAACCAAACCACAACACAAACCCTAACAATCAACCTGTTAAATTTAACTCCAATATATATGGAACTTATCCTGACCACAGCAAACACAAAGCGAATGGGGTAGTGCAAGTCTTCAGTGCTAACTGTGCAGAATTTAACAGTTTTGGACAGCAGTGTAGTGATAACTGTTTACATTAAGTATTCCGATTTATCAGTTGGCCTATTAATTGTTCTACAGAATTTATGGTTTTGTATTCCATTATCAAACTATGGTGGAAGAACCATAATTTTCTTTTCAAATAAGATTTTTATAAGAAGGTTTGAGGGTTTTATGAGAACAAAACAGTAAGTTAACAAGCTTCTTTATGCCTAATGTTTTGGTGTACTGTCATCTCTAGCTCTATATACACGAGCATTAGATTACCTAAAAGACAAGCAGTTCTGTAATTCATTGTGATTGGTTAAGAAGAAGTTCAGATAGAAGCTTACTTGACCCTTGCAGCTGATTAAGAATTACTTCAAGGGGTTAAAGGTTATCTTTAAAATGTCATACCACTGTAACTAGTTTTTTTTCCACCTTGAGGGGAATGTATTATACTGCAAAATGGGAACAGGCTGTAACCATTTGCAAAGTACTGAAAAAGCGCTTTTGTGGTGTTCAGTTTACATTATTTCTTAACACATTTTTAGAGTATTTTCCTCAGCATGAAACCAAGACTTATTCTTGTAAGTCTAGCTTTCTTAAACAAGATTACTAGAAATGGAAGAATAAATTGCAAAAAATACCAGTGATTACTTAGATTAAGTGATTCCTCCTCCCCCAGTTCATATATTCTAACTATACACAGGAAAAATGCTAAAGAACAACGCATCATATTCATAGATGGAATCTGGATACTGCTTCAGTAGTACACTGCATTTGATTGTTTGCACCTTTTTCATGTAACATTACTTTCAGTAAGATTTGAGAGCCACTGTATGTTTTGCAACTTGCCAAGATTCTGTTTCACTATGTTTGAGTTACCACACCTCAAGCTGGGATTTGTGATTCTGAACTGTTAAGAATTAGCTCTTTTGGTCCTTCTAGGAAACTTCCTTGTTTTTCCACCATTCCCATTCCTTTCCCAGCTACCTGAGGGGACAGCAGGAAGCCTAGCAGACACCATTTACTCAGAATTCCATCAATAAATCTTGTCCAGGAAGCAGGGCAATGAATGGACAATTCACTCCCCCTGCAAGAAAGGTCAGTTCCCGAAACTCAAAAGCCACTTGGCAGGGATCACTAGCAAAATGCTTGGCTTCCGGCACATGGCCACCAGCTGGCACCACCATCTATAGCACAAGTGATCTTTATCTAACAAGCCTGAAAAATAAAAATCTTCAGTAAGTCAGCTGAGAAAGATACCTATGCAGGAAAAATATTGAAGATAATTTAAACACTTACAAATAAACCTTTAAAACCTAGCAGATGCAAGTTTTGTGTTGCATTTAAAAATAGATTTAAATATACTTCCCTCTAGTTAGGATTTATAATACTGAATATACACTTGTAACTGAAATTCTAGTAAACTGTAAGAGCTGGTTGTGAGTTCAC